GAGTGGGAGCTGCTACAGTCCCATATTTTTTTTAGCTGTTTGGATATTAAGATATACAGGTGCAAGCTATCTCACAGATCCAAATGATGTGAAGTCTACATCTGGATATGTGTTTATGCTTGGAGGGGTTGCAGTTTCTTGAAAATCAAAGAAACAGAATGTGACGAAATTGTCCACCATGAAGGCAAAATACGTGGCGTGATGTTTGGTGATCGAGGAGGCTGTATGGATTAAGAAATTTCTTAATCGACTTGGCTTTCACCTTGTGCGTTGTGAGGCAGTAAGAATTTTTTTTGAAGATTTTGGCATTTTTCTTTGCCAATAATTTTTCTTTATATGGTCGGGCTTGCCATAAAGCCAATAACTTTGGTCATAAGACCCCATCGACTTTGATTGGCTACTTAATGAATTTTGATGAGCCAATCGTTCATCCAATTGTCCTTTTGCTACAAGTACATCCATTTTTGAGCCTATCGAATCATCCATCGATACTTTCTTTCGAAGTTCATTGGAAAGAAGAGCACTACAAACTGAATCCAATTTGAGGGATTTTTCATTGTTACAACTCAAGGTAGTGACAAGATTATCATAAATGTCGATTACGAACATCGCAATGTTACTGCCTTATCTTCCTCATCCATCTTTACCCCAATGCTCTCGAGTTGATATATAATATTGTTAAATTCATTCAAGTATTCTGATACTTTCATACAATCTCTCATCCTCAAATAATACAATTCTTCTTTAAAGAAAATTCGATTTGTGGGACTTTTTTTAATATAAGTTTTCTAACTTTGCCCTTAAATCTACCGCTGTCTTTTCTCCTATTATATTAAATAATATTTCATTCGCTAAACACAAGTGAATTGTTGCGAGGGCTTTCCTATCCAATTCTTCCCAATCATCATTCTTCATATTTTCTGGTTTCTTAGATATTCCTTGTAGTGCTTTATAAAGTCCTTGTTGTGGCATATATCATGAATTTTTATTTTTCAAAATTCAAAATCATTCCTCCTATCAAACTTCTCTTCCAATGTTTAGATAGCCATTTTCCCAAATTACTACACACTTACCTTAAGCTCTGATGCCACTTGTTGGGAACCGAGGCTAGTTCGACTATATCCCTTGTTAGGGTGAACCCCCCACGACAACAAATCTAGCACCTCGAACCAAATCGTCTTTAACCAGCAAATTGATACCAAGAAATCCACACACCCAATAACCAAATATGGTATACTAAATTTGTTTAAAATATGATGAAATCAAGAGAAAGTAAAATAGAAACTCTAATGGCACTACTACACATTGCAAACCATAATAAAAGTACCATAAACACAAAATACACATGGTTCACCCAAAATTGGGCTACATCCACGGGCAACCAGCAAGAAAATGATTTACTATTAATAAAAGAAATTTACAAGTTTGTGGATTTTGTAGAGATTACCTCATACAATGATAAATAAAATTCAAATTGATTTTCTACTACAATAACACCATCGATCGACTCCGTGCTTTGTGTCTGTAGACTAACAACGTCATTGTAAGGAAATCCTAATAAAATATGGTCTAATATAAGGGCACTATGGTGCTAGGGCTTGTTCAAGAAATCCCCAATCTCTACCTCACAAAACTTCTCTACACATTTGTTTTTTTTTTTTTTTTTTTTAAATACACTTTTATGGGGTTCCATAAAAATCTCTTTTCGCAAGACGAAATTACCCATCAATAAAGAGGAAATATCATTTAAGAGTGATTTTAGCTTCACATCCCAACAATAACATTATTATCTTCAAATGAAAAAATAGAATTTGAGTTATTCAATGCTTAGATGTTTCCCTTTGAAAATTGGACGTTCCTTGTTCAATTTTGAAATATTATTATTTTTTAGCACAAAGAATATGCAATCTAAAAAATTATTTTTTAGAGGTTTATCGCTATGCTCAATAGGTAGCGTCCCTAATATTTGGGGTCCCAAAAAACAATCCTAACTTGCGACTTAGCCCAGGGAGCAAATGGACAGTATGCTCCCCTGGGAGTAGCATATCATTTGGATTTTCTCATATTTGTACAGGAGTGTTTCTCCTTATTCTTTATGGGCACGTTGCCCTCTTATATAGTCATGATCGTGATATCAAAATTTTAGCATTTCGTGCGCAACACGTTTGAAAGAACGGAAAATATAGCTCAAGATGATTTCCTACCCTCCATTCCTAATGTTAACATATATAAAGAAAGAAAAACAGAATAGGAAATATAGGATTCTTAATTATGGAAAAAGTTTATATAAGGATGCAACCTTTTATAATGTAGAACTACGGATGTACCTCAAAAATTCATCAGAAAAGGTAGTTTTAATGTTGAAAAACCCTTTGATTGATCATTTCGACTTCGAGTTGTATGATCATGAAAAATAAAAAGATTTTAAATCTAAAAAATAGTGCATTTTACAACATGTCATCTACACCTTATACTTCTGTTGCACATTGTGCCTTTCAATCTCACTAATAGTAAATAATAATAAAAAATAAATGCTGCACAATTTTTAGGTTAAGATCATAACTCTAATCCCCCCCCCCCCCAAAACAAAAAAAAAGTCCAATTGTTAGTAGACTCTAATCCTGAGCATTAAAAAGAGCCAACAAAAATGGGAGATTCTTATTCCATGCATAAACAATAAATAATGGATTGAGCTCAATGCAATGGATCCTCATGATAAGAGCGTCCATCTTTCTCTTTAGACACAAAAACAAAACTATGATGACAACCCTTTGGCCCTTTACCTAGAAACGGATAAAGACGAACACTACCGATGGGAGTTGGCCCACAGTTGCCATAATAACTTATGGAAAAAAATTTAAAGGGCAAGACGAGAGAGAGCGCTTTATCACATCTGTCTTTTGAGATAAAAGTCGAGAGAGATAGGCCTAATTTGCCCCCTTATTAAAAGAAAAATGCTGCAGAGGCTTTATTAACGCATAATTACATACTCCCAGAGGAAAAATTGGAGGAAATCTGTGTCAGCCTTAATATGCATGTGTAGAGATAGAGAGAGAGAGCATATAATTAACACACCTCATTGCCTGAAACTCTCTGCAAAACCAAATTACACTGGTCTGGAGTTCCTCAATCTATCCGCCTAAAGCGAGAGAGAGAGAGAGAGAGAGAGAGAGAGAGACGGAGAGAGAATG